ACTACGAAATCTGGGAATGCCTAACACCTTCTCCCGGATTAACAGAATTCCTTACCCAGTCTTCTAGTTTTCGCAGACTTTAAAACAGAGTCAAATTTTCTTAATTTGGGATTTTAAAATAAACCGGTGACTTATGACACCATAACAATTATTCCAAGTGTCGACTCTGAAATTAAATAAATAATCTTGTTTCGAATAATGTCACTTTAATTGAAAAAACTCCCCTATCCCTTCGGGAAAAATGAGGTGTGACAACACCAGACTTTTAGCTTGAGTGCATGCCGACAAGTTCTTTGCACAATTCGAACTTATCTCTTGGTACCACCTTGGTCAGCATATTTGCGGGATTCTCAATTGTAGAAATCTTCAAAACTTTTAAAGATTCATTCTCTACCATTTCTCGAATCCAGTGATATCTCACGTCAATATGTTTGGTCCTTGCATGGTACATGGAGTTCTTGCTAAGGTCAATTGTACTTTGACTATCACAATAGACGACATACTCCTTCTGATGCAATCCAAGCTCTTGAAGGAACCGTTTCAACCATATCATCTCCTTTCCAGCTTCAGTAGCGGCAATATACTCTACTTCAGTTGTAGAGAGTGCGACACACTTCTGTAACCTTGACTACCATGATATAGCTCCCCCTGAAAATGTAAACAAATATCCAATAGTGAATTTTCTGTTATCAATGTCACCTGCCATATCAGTATCTATATAGCCCTTCAATATTGGATCAGATCCTTCGAAGCACAAACAATCTCCCGTGGTACCTCTCAGGTACCTGAGTATCCACTTAACTTCTTCCCAGTGTTCTTTTCTAGGATTTTCAAGAAACCTGCTGACAACACCAACTGCGTGAGCAATATCAGGTATAGTGCATACCATTGAATACATCAAACTTCCGATGGTAGAGGAATAAGGAACTTTGGTCATGATTTCCTTTTCCTTTATTGTTGTAGGACACATCTTCTTGTTTAACTTCAGATGACTAGCAAGAGGTGTGCTGACTGGCTTAGAATTCTTCATGTTGAAGTGTTCTAGTACACGTTCAATGTACTTCTCTTGAGACAACCACAACTTTCTGCTTGTTCTCTCTCGAACTATCTTCATACCCAGAATTTGTTGTGCTGGGCCCAAGTCCTTCATATCAAATGACTTGGACAAATCTCCATTCAACTTTGCGATCAGCCCCTTGTTCTTTCCTCCAATTAACATGTCATCCACATAAAACAACAAAATAATAAAGTTGTTGTCAGAAATTTTTTTGAAGTATACACATAGATCAGAATATGTCTTTGTGTAAGTTTGACTTTTCATGAATGAGTCAAACTTCTTGTACCACTGCCTTGGTGTCTGTTTCAACCCATAAAGACTCTTATTCAGTTTGCACACCATGTGTTTCCTTTCAGCTACTTCAAATCCTTCTAGATGCTCCATATAGATCTCCTCTTCCAAATCTCCGTGAAGAAATGCAGTTTTCATGTCCAACTGCTTCACTTCAAGATCTAGGCTAGCTGCTAGGCTCAAGATTGTTCGAATATAAGTCATTTTCACAACATGTGAGAAAATTTTGTCAAAATCAATACCTTTCTTCTGCTCGAAGCCTTTTACCACCAATCGAGCTTTGTATCTGACCAACTTGCCATTTCTATCTTTCTTGAGTTTAAAGACCCATTTGTATTTGAGTGGTCTTTTACCCTTTAGAAGTTCAACCAGCTTGTACGTGCCATTTTTCTGTAGAGATTCTATCTTTTCTTACATGGCTTTCATCCAATGGTTATTTTCTGGATGGGACAGCACCTCCTTAAGACTTTTGGGTTCCCCTTCAACACTGATGAGGATATACTCTGTGAAAGGGTACCTACATGACTCTACCCTTGGCCTCTCTGATCTTCTCAGAGGTTGGCGTTGTTCTTCTTCCTGAGTGGGGTGCTCCACTTGCTCGACACCATCATCGAGTTGCTCCTCCTGCTCAATAACCTCATCAGGTTGCTCCCCCTGCTCGGCAAACCTCATCGGTCATACTTTCTGTACATGTGGGATAGTTAGAAGAAGAAGAAATGGTAACAAGGTTAGGGATTATACCATTCTTTGTCTTCTCTGATTGATCATCTACAGCTCCAACTTCAATTTCTCGAAAGATTACATCTCTGCTTCTAATGATCTTTTTTTTATAGGATCCCACAATCTGTACCCGAACTCTTCATCTCCATACCCGATGAATATGAATGGAACAAATTTATCATCCAACTTTGTTCTCTGCTCCTTTGGTACATGTGCAAAAGCTTTGCAACCGAACACTTTTAGATGTGAGTAGGACACTTCCTTGTTGGTCCAAAATCTCTCTGGGTTGTCAAACTCCAATGGAACTTATGGACTCCTATTGATTAGGCAATAGGCTGTCTGAACTGTTTCACCCCAGAATGACTGTCGTCAGTTTAGCCATTTTGAGCATGCTTCTCACCTTCTCAACAATGGTGCAGTTCATCCTCTCGGCTACGCCATTGTGCTGTGGGGTTCCAGGAACTGTCTTTTCATGCCCGATCCCATGACTTGAACAATACTCTTCAAATTCCCTTGAAGTGTACTCACCTCCTTTGTCACTTCGGAGACGCTTTAGCTTTTGGCCTGTCCCCCTTTCCACCAGAGCATGAAACTTCTAGAAAACTTGAAACACCTGATCTTTGGTTTTCAAAATATAAACCCATAATTTTCGTGAAGCATCATCAATAAAAGTAACAAAATATGTGTTACTGCCCATCAATTCAATTTTTATTGGACCACAAATATCAGAATATACCAAATTAAGTATATTCAATTTTCTTTTAGATGATGTGTGAAATGAGACTCTATGCTGCTTACCAAATAAACAGTAGTCACAAGGTTTTACCGTTGTACTTTTGGCATAAGAAATGAGTGATTTCTTGGCAAGAATCTACAATCCCTTCTCGCTCATATGACCCATTCTTTTGTGTCACAAATCTGCAGAAATCTCATTTTGTGCCGCGTTCAATTCACCTTGGCATATTTCTGCATTTATCCTGTACAACGTGCCACGAGCAACTCCCTTTGCAATTACCAATGATCCTTTGGTGAGTCTCCACTTTTGATTTGCAAAATAGTTCTCGTATCCATCTCGATCTAAAGCAATTTCCGAGATCAAGTTCATCCGCAAATCAGGTACATGTTGCACGTCCTTTAGAACCAATGTACATCCGACATTTGTCTTGATACAAATGTCACTAATCCCCGCAATCATTGAGTAACTTGTGTTACCCATTCTCACAGTGCCTAAATCACCTGCTACATATCTACAAAAAAGATATCTTACCGGTGTGGCATGGTAAGATGCTGCTGTATCAACCACCCATTCCGACTCTGGACCTGACAAGTGCATGCATTCCTCTTCTTCATTTATAAAGAGGACAACATTATCATTGTTTTGCACTATGGCGGTTGTGTTGTTGTCATTATTCTGGCCACTGCTTTCACCTTTGCCCTTCCTTGGATTTGGGCAATCTCTTTTGAAGTGACCTGGTTGATCACAATTGTAGAAATTTCTGGCATTTGATTTGGATCAGTTCTTAGACTTCCCACGAGCTCCGGATCTACCATAGTTGCTCGAACTCCTTTGATAACTCCTGCCTCTACCTTATGTGATGAGAGCATGTCCTTGATTTTCAGGCTTCTTTCTCATCTTCTCATTGAGTAGAAGAGCCGATGTGACATCTTTCAACTCAATGGTAGACTTACCGTGCAGGATGGTTGTTGCCAGATTATCGTACGAAGATGGTAACGAGTTCAATAGCAAGATGGCTTTATCTTCTTCCTCGATTTTCACTTCGAGATTGGCGAGCTGTGTGATTAGTCTGTTAAACATATTTAAATATGACAAAAAATTCGTACCTTCACCCATATGTAGGGCGTAGAGCTGCTTCTTCAGGTACAATTTATTTGTCAGCGTTTTGGACATGTATAGGCTTTCCAACCTTGTCCAAATACCACATGCGATGTCTTCATTAATGATGTTATTTACCACATCATCTGATAAGTGCAACCTGATTGCACTAGCAGCTTTTTCATCCAAGTCAGCCCAATCCTCAGCTTTCATGGTATCGGCTTTTTGGCATCAGCATCTAGTACCTTGTGTAATCCTTGTTGGATGAGCATATCCCTCATCCTTCTTTACCATGTTGAGAAATCGCTATCTCCGTTAAATTTTGCTACCTCGTACTTTACTCCGGATATTTTTTATTTTTCACCGAATATAGTACTACCGACAGTGAATATTATTTCTATGAACGAGCTGAACTTGTGCTCTGGTACCAGTTGTTGGGAACAAATCCCCCTACATAAATAATATTCACGGTAATAAAATCGAAATAATAACGTAGCACCGAGATACGGTAATAAACAAGAATAAAAGAGTGACAACGATACCAAGATTTTTACATAGAAAATTCTTTTGAATAAGAGAAAAATCACGACCTCGAAATGAGCAACTGATATCACTATAGCAAAGAATTTTACACTTTGTAGGTCCGAGTAAAATACTCCAAAGACCACTACAATACTTAAAAGAAATAACCTTCTTTTGATATTCTCACCTCACTACAATATCGCTTACTCTCTATTTTTCTCAAATACTATTTTCTTATACCCTATGTAAAACCTCACTCTTTCTTTGCTAACTCTCAGATATATTTTACTCTTGGTGTATTACATGAGCGTAATTTGCAGTGCAAATTGGTTGCCATCTCTACAACTTTCTCTTGAAATCGTTAGATTCCCTTTCTTTTCTTTTTTCGATCACATGGGTGTGGACCCCATCAACTTTATGATCTTGCAGTTCCTTTTTCAAGAATGTTCACAGCAAGTAAACCAGTTGATGTTAATCCCGTTTCCATATGCTATGAAAACCAGAGAAATCGTCCCTCGGAAAATAATTAGGTAGAATCGCAACGAAGAGAACTTTGGCTTTAAAAGGAAATGTAAGTGAGCGATATATAAGCCAGAACTTCTCTATTCAACCTTTTATTGTTGATAAGTAGTAGTTACTTGGGAGAAAAAATTAGAACAAGACAGTAATATGCACGTATTATCGCATCACAGCAGCAGCTATTGTGCAACATAAACATCATCTGCAATTCTCTAACTATAACAATCTGCAACTTGCTCTGATTTGAGAAATCAGTTATCTGCACCAGCAAGAGCACTAAAGTGATGATCAGAGGTTATGTACATCCATCCATCATTTCTGCTCTTCAGTAGCATAAAGCTTTTTGATCTCTTCAACGTCATCATAACTACCAAGGAATATAGGAGCGCGTTCGTGTATCTTCTTTGGAACTAGGTCAAGTGCCTGTATAATAACATTAATTACTATTATAAGTTTCACATTCTAATTCGAAAACCAAAGCTCTTCGCTTTCCCTGTGTTCATAGAGATGAGAGTATGAATCCAGTTGCAATCTCAGATATGTTCTATTACAGTAATATTTTTTCTTTCTACTATTGTAGGTATTCTTAATCTAACTAAATTCAGAAAAATAAACAGACGTCAACATCTAAAGCTATAATGAACTGGAAAAAGAATATCAGGTCAACGACATTTTCAGTTTCTTCAGCAAAGGATTACTGGTCTAAACTTGATGTTTCTGTTATACGTTATACTGTGACCAAAGACTCAGAAATATTACCCTCTGCTTCCCGGTAAATGATTGGCCTCCTGCTTGTTCCATCAGAAATGACATGGGAAATACTTCGTATAGAACCCTGTTTAGTAAAATTCATTTGTAAAGCTTTCAGAAAGTTATTGCTCAGGGAATGCTTCAATTACTCAGAAGATGCGTATAACTTTACCTCAGCTTCCCATTGGGGCTTTTCTTATCTGCTGGATACAAGAAGATACCACCATAGAGTAATGTACGATGAACATCAGCAACCATGCTGCGAGTTAAGAGTCCAGATTTGTATAAGTTGATTAACAATATGTTCATTCTCATTTTTTTTCCTCCATGAAAACAAGAGTTACTCTATACAGCATTAACAAATTCAATGACATAGGCAAATTACAAGAAACAACTTTGTCTGCATTTCATCATGGCTATCAAGCACGGCTCTAAGCATAAGCAAATTGAAATTAGAACCAACGTCAAACCCATTATCACTTAACAGAATCCAATTAACTCTTTGCATGTAATGGTCGAAATAGAAGGATTCATTTAATAAGAAATCCAACAAAAATACTCCATTTAACCCTGTCTGCAGATGTAATATGAACCTTTAACATTTGAATATTTCAACCGTAGATGACTTGTAAGAATTCTAGAATGATCAAGCAATGATTCCTATAATTATAGTTATTACTGCCTAGCATGTCAAGAAACAAAAAATGAATTCAAGATTCTATGGATTTAGATTGTAGGTAGGTGAATTGGTTCATACAAGACACTGCAACAAGATAACCTCAGCATATAGAGAAATTTCAATTACCTTCCAATATATCTCAAAGATTTTGGTGAAGAACCATCGGTGGGGTACTTGCAATTCTGCACATATCTGGGATTAAAAGAAAAGTAGGACATCATGAACAACAGAACAAGAGAAACAAGCTTAGCTTTCTATTGCAGTCTATTAAACGTACTTGGTTGTTGGACCATCCCAGTTCTTGGCATTCCCTTCATTTACTGAATAGATCTTCCCTTTCTTAGGAATCTGCAAGTAAAAGCAAAATTAAAACCATGTTTACCGGAAATATAGTACTCCTAGGAAATATTCCAAAGAAATTACAGAAAAAATTAAATAGGAAAAGCATAGTTGGAATTTGAAGAGGTAAAATTTACAAAATCTGAACAAGCTTGAGAATCTTTGATGTAAAACAAAGAGATCGAAGAACTAGATATTTTAACTTAAATTTGAGATAAACTCAAAGCTCAAAAAGGACATAGACCGTCAGAAATGCTAAACCAATCTTATGTTAGACCGTTCGTATTACTAACAGACTGCACTGAAAGCTCATTATGTGTGGTTCAAAAACCATTCAAATATTCAGCAACCGGAGAGAAGTCGATAGACTATTTAAAACACACCTAAACTTAAAAAAGACTTGGGGTATCTTGATAGGATTTTGTAAACTTGTCTATAAATTGATTAGGACTTTTGTCCATACAAATTATGTCCTTTCTCTTGAGTACTGAAGACATGATCAAGATTAAGAGTCAACGACAAGTTTTACGTTCAACATAGATCTAAGGGGCAAAGTAACAATGGTACCTTGATGTCAGGATGAGTTAGAATGAACTCGCCAAGAGAGGGATCAAGGGTAAAACCATTAACTCCAGATCCAGTGCTCAAAACTAGCTGCAAATAACCGAACTCGGAAAATCTTATTACTTGTATTTCCAACTCATCATTGTCTTCAAAGAATTGCGATCACAACATAAGAGTATAAAATTTGTTTGTCGGTGTATATAAAATTTCAAATTATATTAAACTTAAATGTGAGCACCATACCGTACAAGAACTTCCATACATGCAGTATCCAGCAGCTAACATGTTCTTCCCAGGTTGCAAGACATCATCTAGTGTTGGTTCATGACCATCTTTGATCATGTAAATCCCAAAGATCTAGACAAATAATGAGACATATTATTCATTGTGATGTAAAAGAGGATGTAGTAGTGGAAAGCCAGTAAAAACAATTTAGATATTGCTTAAACCAGAATCATACCGTTCCAATAGAAACGCCACAATCGATGTTCGAGGATCCATCAAGAGGATCAAAAACTACACAGTATCTGTTGTTAAAACAGCATCGACGGGTTAGATCTCAAAACATAATGACAAATGTCAAACTACAGAGAACAATAGCACTCACTTTCCACGTTTAGCTGGCTCCACAAATGTAGCCTCTTCGTCTTCTTCAGAGACAAGAATGCACTACATAATTTGACATCTTTTAGATTAACATCATTACATATTTTTCTAGAGTGCATTAATAAAATGAGTGTCTCGATTCTTACTGTTCGGCCACTGCTAACCAAAGCCTTGATAAATACTTCATTTGAGAGTACATCCAGTTTCTTTTGATCTTCTCCCTACAGTTAGAAATCAAAAGCAGAGTAATTCCAAAGTACAAATGGATTCTGATAAGAAACGAAGAGTTCATCAGAATACTATAAGGGCAGCATCTGCATGAACTTGCCTGCACATTCGTTTCACCGGCAAGCCCTAAGAGTTTGGCCAGACCTGCCTGAAAAGATGTATCCATGTGTAAAATATATCAATATAGGAAATAAAGGGAAAAACAAAACAAGGTAGAATACATGAACTACACAAAAACAGATTTATTCTACTGAAGCTTCTTCTGCCTTTTATATCTTTGTAGGTCTATCCATCAGTACCTACAGTCAATTATGGTTTCTTGCAACTAATTTGTTTCCTCCATTCAATGGGGATGCTAAAAGACAAATAAATTAACGGTACTATGAGAAAAGGTTTAAATATAGCCTTCGTTATACTTTGGGTCCAAATATACTCCTGCCTTAATACTATTGGTTCAAATATATCCTGCTTCTGTTAAGTTTGTTCAAGGTAGACATTCATTCCTACGTGGCGCTGATATTTGATGAGGTGGATGCCACATGGCATGTTATCTCAGCGCCACTAATCCGTATATAAAAGACTAAAATTTGAAATACAATATTTTTCATGGTAGCGATAATGAAGACAATAGTGGTGGAGAGGAAGGGAAATTTTAGTGGTTGGAAAAAAATAGAAGGGAGGGGAAAAATAGGTTAGGAGCGCTGAGGTGTCAAGTCATGTGACATCAGTGTCACATAGGATTGGATGTCCACTTCGGACAAACTTAACAGAAAAGTGATATTTGAATCAATAGTATAACGACATGGGTATATTTGGACTCAAAATATAACGAAAGGTACATTTAAATTTTTTCTGATATACATGGGTATATTTGGCCATTTTCCGATAAATTAACCACAGAAAAGTTTAGGCTTTTCAGAATGAATTTGTTGCATATTTCTCAATGGTTTTACCAGCAGTTCCAGTTCAAACTACAGAAACAAGTTAGACTTTTCTCATTTTGTAATGATGCCCACATTGGATTATAATTTAGCTGTACTGGTCAAAGACATGAAATTGCCGTGAATGTATGATAACAAAAATTTGATTCTATAGAAATTAGAACATGTAAATTTTCATTTCCATAGAGTAATTACAACATGTATCGACTAAGTATAGCTATCGTGCTTCACAGCAAACTAACTATTCATACACAACATTCCATAAAATTACTCAAATATATCATGATAAGGAAAGTATGTATGATGAGAATTCCGAAAATGGATTGAGAGACGTGCAAAAGCGCCACACACACACATGAAACAAATATAGTAAAGATCCTAAAACAAAGACGCCACCTTTCTCAACAAAAAAATGAAAAGAAAAATACATAAAACAAAAAAAATAATGGGACCTTGTTAACAGCAGTGCAGACGAACTTGCAACCAAGAACAATGTGACTGAGCAAGATAGAGAAGTCACCACGGGATTCAGGATGTTTACTCTGCTCATTCAACACAAACCTCGTTATGGTCATCAAATCAGTCCTATGTGCATCCGCCGAGTGATCCATTGCTAGCTCTTCTTGATTTTCCGGCAACTCGCCGTATTAAATATATTGTAATATGCTATACTAAGAAATTGGGCACGCTGCTCAATGCTGATATATAGTACTCCGTACTAACTGAAGCTGAAGAAGAAGTAAAAAAGGAGAAAGATATGGGGCTATCTGATTAGGATGACACGTGGAAAGAGGAGAGCGATGCATGTGATTAGTGGTTGGCACTAAGATAATGCAATTCTTCGTCCGCATGCTTATTCTTTCTTCTTCCTTTGTTTCTATCGATCTTCATTATCGACGTCACATATTTCGTGGACTTCAAGGACTTATCCTTTAANNCCCCAAAAAAAAAGATTTAGATATTTATTATCGCCTCTATTATTCTTCACAATACATGCCGATAAAGGCTTAAACATATATATGAGGATAAATATCTCTCTCGTTGAAGTTAAACCTCTTGATCTATGTAATAGGTTAGTATAAGATATTGATTTTATATTAAAGGTCAAATCCCCGTATGCTAATGATCAATCTATATCTATCTATATTTTATTATAAAAGCACAAATATTAAAACATTAAATATTGAATGACGAAAATATCCTCAAAATATTACTCGACTTTTATACCCTTTGAAACCTAAATTAATTTTAAAAGGAATCACCCCTAAAGGATGAAATCGTAATATTACTGATCGTGTAATACTAATTACACTTGGACAATAACTTCGAATAAAGAATCCGCATGTCCTAATTCTGAATTATTAGAAGAAAAGGCACAAGAAGAGAGAAAAACCTAATCAGTCAAAATTATGTCCCACAAAGCAGTTGAAGTGGCATAAAATTAAATGAACATATACCAAGATACTGTTCACAAAGAAATAGGCAAGATATGATAAAGACACAAAGTTGTACATCTCTGTGCTACAAAAAAAATACTATCTAATTTAACTAAATCGATAATCTTTGTGAATTCAACCGGTGTGAAATCATTTTAAATTCAAGTACTATATACTGCAATAATATTGATTTTTAGTATTTAAATTATTGAACTTTATCCATGTAAATTATATTATAATGTAATATATTTAATTTATTGCTCATATAAATATTTGATTGAAGATTTACGTGTAACACTAATATACATTAAACATTATTTTTCTTCTAGTGAATATTTATTGGCCATTGACTATACTTGTTTTTGGAGGGTTGGCCAACGAACCAACCCTATGAGGCTAGCTATGACTAATCCACGAGGACTCCAAGAATCGGATAAATACCTTCAAACAAACGCTCTTTAATAGAAAAAATATAAATAGAGGCAATAAAAATAGTAAAATGTTATAAAAAATTTAATATTTGTAAAGATGTTTATTTAAGTTGGTATTAAGGATACAAGTCTATGCTTTGAAGTTTTATTTTTCGGTTTAGATAGTAGAGTTATGACGGTAAAATATCAAGTCACAACAAATTAAAGGAGACAGTTAAGTTAAGGATGAGTTAAAGATTGCTTTGGAAAGTAGGTATTGACATAATCAATGAAATTTAGACAGTTATTAACATCTTATGAAAGCAAATCTAGATTGATGTATTTACAATTCAAAAAGAAAAGAATCGAACTAAGTCTAGTCAACTGTAGCAAATTGGTGGAAATACATGAAATTCGTGTCGACGTTACGTTACCTGTCAGCTTCCAAAATTCCCAAAATTCCGTAGATATCATAATTTTAATATCTCATAATTAGGCATTCTTTGATTTCTCAAATATTTAGATAAACATAATTTCTTGATGTATGCTGATGCAATGCATTGTTGGACAGATAATGGTGCATGTTAGTTAACGTCGAAATAAAGCTATAACATTGAACACCTCCAAGAAAGTAGACCATTCTTTTTCTTCTCTTTTGATCAATGACTTAAGAGCAACTACCAATCTCGAAAATTTTGCATATCCAAATCATCTCACCTGTGCAAATATATATAGCTCTGGCGCATTTAACTAGAATCTCTTTGAATTCATCTTAAAACTTTTGACAAAAAAAATTGAGAGAAAAGCGTGCCTACACTTATATAAAAAATTAGACTATATAGTCGTTATAAAACTATAAAAGTCGTAATAAATTTTTTTTTTCATGACTTTCTAAAGGGCATTGAGAATAGTGCGATTACCATAACAGTGGGTATGCTTTTGTGACAATTTAAGTAGTCACTTTTGTAATGACTCGGAGCCTGTTTGGATGGGCTTAATTTAACTTCTGAAAGTGTTTGACAATCAAAAAAAGGGTTTTAAAAAAGTTAAAATCTGCTTTAAAAAAGTCAAAACCAACAAGTTGGATAAACCCAACTTTTTCGAAATTGGCTTAAAAGCCATATTGTTTTGACCAAAAATATTACATTGTTATCCCTTATAATTTTCTTAATCTCGAAATTACCCCTCAGTAGAAAACCCTAAAACATACATTTTTTTCTTTTCTCCATTCTTGTTGCCGCCTCTGCTTTCTTCTTCCATAACTTTCCCCAACTTCATTATATTCTGAATCTTTATTAGTTAGAGGAACAAATTATTTTTCTTTCCTCTTCTGGCATTTTCTTTAGGTGTTTGCAGCATTTGTCTTCAGATGCGCCATACTTCTGCTCATTGCTCCTTTTGATTTGAAGCTCTTGTTGGTGAGCTGGATTGTCTACTTAAGAGTCATTACTTGCTCTTTTGAGTTTTATTTTTCTTTTCTTTTTGGAGCAATACCCAAAATGGCTGGTCGGATAGATGCTTCGGACCAAAAAGAAAATGAGAAAGCTATAGATTCTTAATTTGTGTAGTTGCCCAATTTACTCCATTTATATATGCTCTTTCATATGGTTTAAGACTTAAGACTCCAATTTGTATGACATCATTTCTTTATTAGTCCGTACAAAAATAAGTTTGAAATTTATGGAAGTTTACTTGATTGAAAGTGGTAAAAAAGGAGCATTCAAGAATTATGTAATCAATTAGATTGAACTTAAATTAAAATATAAATTATTTGTATTAATTTAAAATTAAATATATTATAGTAATTAGCTCATTTATAATGTTAACAGCTTTAAGGATATATTTTTTTTGTCTTTTTAACAGAAAAAAGTGCTTACCAGCACTTGTTTACCAAACACTTCAACGCATTTTTTAAGGTTCAGCAATTTTATCCAAACATGTAACTGTTTATTTATAAAACAAGCCCCAGCACTTAAAAGCTGCTTTTAAGCACTTATTTTTAAAAGCTATATTTTTCCTGCTAATTCAAACGGGCTCTTAAGTTGCCACAAAAAATGGTTAAAGCTGCCACAAAAAAATCATAGACGAAATTGTTCTAAAGATCGTCCTGAAAATGCATGAAATCATTATTTTTCATGATATTTTTTCGTCATTACTAGTATGTTATTTTTCGTGATTATTATTAAGAACGTTGTCATAAAAACTTTTTTTGTTCGAGCAATTGTGAAGGATTATTATTCGTGTCGACCTGTTAACCCATTTCTTATAGTGACTTTTGACTCCAAATTCCTATTTTCATCCATCTTTATATAAAATATTCATGAATAACCTAGTATCAGGGAGAAGCTTTAGAAGGATGACTAGAAAAATAGAGAGAAATTTTGCCCGTGATCTTCATCAGGAATTCGTGGCAACAAAACTATCTCCCACCACCCTCTAGAACCATGCCTTTGGGAATTAAGATGGTGTTTGAATAAACTTATAAGCTGGTGTAGTGGTGACAAAATAGATTGATTAAAAAAAATAATGTGGTGACAACATGGATTGATTAAAAAAAATAATTACTTATTTATATTATCTACTAAAATATGTTAATTTTTATATATGGGTCAAATATGAATAAGATCTATATTATCTACTTAAAAACCGGATAAGTGGTGGATAACCGATGAATTTTATTTTGCATGCAAAGATTTACACTGATAGCCAGTAAATCCAAACCCCAGAAATATCCGCCAATCATATATTTTTTTGCCTTGATAGTGTTGCCTAAAGGTGCTAGTTGGCATATTCATTTGTAATGTTCTTGATGAAGATATTTCCTGGTAACGTTATCTTATTTATTTCCGTTTTATCAATTTATGCTCTCACATCACCATTTTTCCGGACAAGAATTTTTTTCATTTTAAGTGACATTATTGAAATGAGATTAATTATTTTAATTTTAAGAGTCGTTACTTGGGATAATTATTTAAGATATCCCAAGTCATCGTTTACTTTAAATCAAGGAACTTTTTGACTCTGTTAAAGTCTGCGAAACACAGAAGATCGGGTAAGAAATTATATTAACCCGCAAAAAAGTTTGAGGCACTCCTGGATTTCGTAATTTTAGCACGATCGCTTTACAATTACACCTAGCTTAATTATCTGATTACTACATATTTTAAACATGTGTGCATTTTAAATATTTATCGCTCTTAATTGTATCTTTTAAATCATTCTAATATTTATGGAGTTATTTTAAACAAGTTATGATGTCGTACACTTATCGTTTTATACATGTCGTAAATCGCGCCACGTGAAACGGGGTAAAATTAAAAAATAGCCAGATTTATAAGTGGTAATTGAAAAATAGTCACAGTTTCAAAAGTAATCGAAATTTAGTCACTTTTAATGTAAAGATAAATCTGAACGAAAACACTATTCAAAATCCGAAAAATATTACAGCATAATATACTGGAGTTCGAATTTTTTACATGTGAACTTCCAACATAATATACTGGAGTTCCAGTATATTATGCTGTAATTCCAGTATATTATGATAGAGTTCCAGTATAAATATATTGGAACTCCATCATAATATACTGGAGTTCCAGCATAATATACTGGTCTGGCATAATATGCTAGAAGTTCATACACAGGTGCTCCAATCTCCAGTATATTATGCTGGAACTTTACGTGTTGCAGCAAAATAGTGGCTATTTTTTAATGACATTGCAAACGCTTGCTTTTTTCAATTACCAGCCCAAAAACTGGCTAGCCCGTACTATTTTTACTGTGAAACGCACCCGCAATTTACGACATATTGATTTTATGATTCTTTGAAGTTGGGGTCAAGTCACGCGAACGTGCACTTGAGTTTGGGATTACGTGTCATAATTATGCCATGAGAGCCGTATCCATAACCATGACGAAAAATTAATTAAAGCGTGCCTAAAGCAACTACGAGTGGTTCATGAATTATTTATTTTTCCTAAGTTCGGGGTCGTTTGTGAAGGACCGGAGTTATGGAATGATTTATTGTGGACAAACTACAAAATTGATTAAGTTAGTTTGGAGTTGTTATCGTTGGTTAGTGAAACGGGAAATTGGTTGAGGTAATTATGTTTGGGCCTAACAAAGCGTTTGGCAATACTTACCGCACCACTATCTTATTAATATGGATCAAAGAAAGTGGGTAAATGAGCTCAGGCGAAAGGCCCACACCCTAGATTGGTGCATTACTGAGGCCCACTCATGAACAGCAGCTGCCTAATGGGACCTGGAAGTTGCCGGGGTGGGAGAAATTTAAAAATAGTTAGATTTACAAGTGGTAATTGAAAAATAGTTATAGTTTCAAAAGTAATCAAAATTTAGCTACTTTTCATGTAAAGATAAATTTGAACGAAAACACTGTTCAAAATTCAAAAAATATTCCAGCATAATATATTGGAGTTCCAGTATAATATACCGGTCCAGCATAATATGCTGGAAGTTCATACATAGGTGCTACAATCTCCAGTATATTATGCTGAAACTTTCCGCGTGTTAGAGTTCCAGCATAATATGCTGGAAGTTCATACACAAGTGCACCAATCTCCAGTATATTATGCTGGACCGATCCGCGTTGCAGCAAAATAGTAGCTATTTTTCAATGACATTGCAAACGCTTACTTTTTTCAATTATCAGTCCGAAAACTGACTAGTCCGTGCTATTTTTAGCTTCAGGGCATGAGCTTCAGAGTCTATTTGACTCTCTAAGCTAATTCAACGTATTGGGATAATGGCACAAGTAAATCAGTTCTGGCCTCTATTGAGGCCCATCATGTCCAAACATTGCATTTCATTCGTCTCTATCAACAGTGATAAAAACGTGCATTTGCTTAACACTTACGGCATCTTCAACCCTCCCCATTTCTCCCTAATATGGGCATTTTTTGTCATAATGGGGCTCCAATGCTCCTTCATTTTTGCCCCCAAAATGGGAATGAATAGTATTACCTCAAATATAGAATGACACTATTCATCTCATCAATTACTATTCATCCTTATATTATTATTATTTTTATTATTTAACTCTTTTAATTTATCTCTTTATATATACCTAATTATGTTTATGTAATATCTTTATAATATTAATTTTATATCTTAACTTTGGTGTATAATTTTGATAAATTAATTTTCGTACATTTATTATTTTTATGTAAAATTGTAAGTTAATCGTGACCCACGTTCGCCACAGAAGAAATATTTCGCGATGAAACAAGAATTATGTCGAAAAGATGTTGAACGTACATTCGGAGTTTTTCAAGCTCGTTTCGGAATTGTGTCAGGGCCATCACATTTTTGGAGAAAAGAAGTGTTACATGATATAATAACTACATGTATTATACTGCACAACATGATAATAGAGGATGAACGTGATCTTAATACACCAATTCAAGATGATTGGGAATGTCCACCTCCAAAGGTAGTAGATGAAAATCACCGATTTGAGCAATTTTTAGCTCGACACAAAAAAAAAATTAAGGACAAAGATGCTCATTTTACACTTCGTAATACATTAATAGATTATTTATGGGAGCATACTAGAGATGAAAGTTGCATATTTATGTAATATTTAATATGAATTTTACCATAATGTAATATGTATTTAATTATCTTGTATCTCAATGATTTCACTTTTATTTGAATTAACCATTAATATATATATAATCTATAATATTTATTTACAAATTATATTATTTAAAAATTTATGGTATAAAATAATTTTATATTGAATTATATGTGATGAATATGGAAAAAAGAAAAAAGATAGAATTTCTTTAACAGAAATAGGAAAATAAAATTTAAATAAAAATAATAATATAATATTGAAGAGAGAAGAATATAAAATGGAATATTCTTTTTTTGGAGTTTAAAATGGAGTAATGGTTGGAGTAACTTTACCCTATTTTGGAGGAGAAAATGGAGGCAAGGGTTGGAGATGGCCTAACAATACTAGTTTGAACCGTTTTTATAAAGCAATGCACTCATGAATAAAAAGATGAACTACTCATATCGAGGAAACTTCATATTACAACTAAATGGTTAAAGATTTAGTGTTTCAACGATTGGAATTAATATCACAAACCATACTTGTCATGAATGACCAATTCTTAAACTCTGCGCTTTAACAGAGTTAAAGGATTTAACTAAACTGATTTGAAAAAATTAACTAATAACCAATTTCAAATGATCAAAATCACAATTAATTATATACAACCCAATACGAAATGAATTACATGTATAACCACAGATATTATCTCGAATTAACTACAAATTTCCAGTTAATGAGATCAACTGCAGAGACAGTGATAATCCACCAGTACGTGCGATCTTCTAAGCTGATTCTTAATTTGCAATCACAAGCGCAAAGCTGTTATCAACAAATCACTAAACACTTCAAGTTACTTCCAGAACTTCATAACCCCAATAGATTCTCTAGTGGTCATGCTATAATCTCAATTAACTCTTGACACTAGAAGTCATATGAACAAACTAAAGTTCAAATTTATTACAAATTAGAACTAGTACATGAATGACGGCAATTAAATAAGCTGAATCTGTGACATGGCCTTTCAAACACTTGAACAAATTCAACTCAGAATTTTCAGCTTACAAAGACAGTTATAAGCAGATCATAGCAGAACAAACACATGTAAATAAATCTGGTAATCAATCACAATGAATACACAAAATTAAACATGGATACATCAGGTATTTCAAATCTTCATTTATACATTCAACGAAGAAGTACATGCGTGCCGTCACATACCTAGCAGCAGAAAAACAGTAGAAGAAATTGACCAAATAAAGGTCATAACTGAAGAAAATGATGAAATCAGCTACAATCGACAACAAACAGCAGCAGAGTCAGTAAATAACTTCAATTTACGATCCAGAAACATCTTGAAGATCCCAGAAATTATCGAAGTAAAATAGTAGAAATCAGAATAGCATTTGATCTTTTTTTTGGGTTTTTTGGAGCTTTTGTTTAGCAGATCTGGAGTTTGAATTTTAAAAATTCCAGGCTGTTGCTATGAATGCCTAAGTGCGTGTGTGAGTGGAGGTGAGAGTGAATGAGGGTAGAAAGTGTGAGGGAAGATTCTCTTTTATAACCAATTTTCAGGGCTGCTCCCTTGAGTTTTCTTTTTTACTTGCCTCAAATTTAACGGGTATGCCTGTCAAACAAAGCTGGCCCAACTTTTACAAAGAAAACCAAACAGACCATATGGTTACAAATCTGGCCACCATCATGCCCACAACGATCAAAGTTAACAATTTAAACAAACTTAGAACGATTGCAATGAAAACCCAATTAAGCATGCAATTAACTGATCGAAAACTGGAATTAAAATAATCATTGACTAAACTATATGAATTTAAGAAGTCAACGGACAGAAGAAGAAATTACCAACAGGAGTATCAAACGCCGGCGAAGAGGATTGCGGACAGTGACGGCCACGAAGAAAAATGATGAGGCAAATAAAATTTACCACCGGGAACAAACGAGACGACTTCTGCGTGGGTTACCCGACCCTCAAAGGTCTTTCTTCTAAGAGATTCTTCTTAGATATGAAATCAAGAGGAATCATCTTGGTAGAAAGACTTATGAGATTCAGGTGAAACTCAAAATAACAGGGTTAAAGAAAGAGGAAAGAGACGAGGGGGATAAAAAGTTTCTGGCCGGTCAAAGGCGATTTGACCGGCCTCCGGCGACCACCAATCGACCTAAAACTAAAATCAATCGACAGCTTATGCAAAAAGCCATTGATTGATATAAGTTTCAGTGACAAATTGGTCGGAATGGAACCAGAGAAGAAAAGAGGCGATTTTGGATTTTGATGATTTCTCAGATCCACTATCGTGGAGTTTGTGTAGATTTTTGGGGAAGGCGATGATAGATTAGGAATGAGGAGAGGATGAGGAGTGTACGGTAAAAATTTGGGGACGATTGGAGGTGACCCGCCGCCGTGGGGCGATCCGGCAGCGGTCAACGAGGTGGTGGCAAAGCGGTGCTCGGCGGCGGAGTCGATTTCCTGCCGCCCAGGATTTGAATTGGGGGTGAGATTAGGTTTAATTTGTAAAGATTGAAACTTTAACCTCAATATTATTAAAAGAGAGCAAACACCAAAACGACGTAGTTCTGTCACAAGACTACGCCGTTTAGGTGGCCTGAGGGTAGGGCTGTGTGGACCGGGTTGTGGGGTAGACTGCGAATGGGGGTTAAACAGGGTTTGGGCCTATGACCTTAGCCCAATTTTGAAATTGAAATGCATCAACAAACCTCTTTTCTTTTCCCTTCTTTCTCAAATTAAGCATTTCCCTCTCTTTCAATTTTAACCACTTAGTTTACCACTCTATTTTGTACTCAATCTTTGTAGAATCACACCAATTGTCTGCGTTATCTAATAACTAATTACTTCATTAATTGATTTTTTACAAGTTAACAAAAGAAACTAACTAATTAGACCTACAATTACTAAAATGCAAAACAACTAAATGTATTTTGTGATTCCGTATTTTATAAATGCAACTAACATGCAACTAAATGCTAATGATGCAGTTAAAAATCTAAAATTGTAAAGAGCAAAAGATAAGATATTTTTTTTGTTATTTTCATGATTTGAAATGCTACTAAATATGCTAAAAATGTAAATAAATGCCAAACAAATAAAAATAAAATAGAAGAAAATTCCTAAAATTCCATAAAGGTAATAAAATTGTTTAGGAGTATTTTAGGTATGGGTTAAAAATTATGTGTTCACATATGCATGCCAATATTTTTTCTATATTTATTTTGGGAAAATGCTTAATGAACTGCTATTTCTTCGAAGTTTTTCTTCTTCTTTTTTCGGGTTTCGAAAATTTTCTTTAAAATCCTACTTTTTTGGTCACACCAAAACCACTATTGGAGAAGATAGTTATTAAAAAGAAAAACTGCAGAAGACTATAAAATTGAATTAAGTAATAAGTGAAATATTAAGGCTCACTACTAAATGAATTAAGTAAATTTTCATGTCTCCACCCAAATTAAATTAGATAGGCCCACGTACAAAGTGAAACAGAAGTTGACTATTCTGAAAATTCTTATCAAAATGGGAAAAAACTGTCGTTACTCTGTAGTGTATCCGGGCGGCTCAACAACATTGGAGGCTTAAATATAATATATATATATATATATATATATATATATATATATATATTTGTGTGTGTGTGCGCGCTTACCCGTAGAGTTGAATTTATACGTAGTTCTAAGGATATGTGATATAGCTTAATACAAATCGTAAGGATAAAAAGAAATATCAAATATGAACTGCAAAGAATGTAAAATAAATAAAGTTGTAAAGAAGACGATTTTTAGGACTAAGCAAGATGGATAAGTTTTTTAGGCTTAAAAGAGTAACTCTTGAATATAAGAGGATATGGTGCTTGAATTACAATGTGAGCTATGTATAAAAACTACCCTTACAGAAATGATAACCCTTCACATTTATAGTAAAGGGATCTTATTTTAAATATAATTAAAAATACTAAGTGAAAAGTACATGATAGATCAGCTTTTTCACAATTCCTGTCAAGATTCTTTCCTCTAGTGGGATTGCAACGGCTTTTGTCTGTGAGCTCGATCTTGACTCGAGCTCTCGATCTTGGCTTGAGCTTGATCCAGACTCGAGTTCTCGATCTTGGCTTAAGCTCGATTCTGACTCGGACCCTTGAATTGATTCGGAGTCAATGTTGGTCGGTCTCTGGATCATAAACTTGATAGATTTACTTTGCATCATAGTTTGATTTGGATTCGAGCTTGATAATGATATTGAACTCGACATTGATCAGCCCATCGGGTTCGAAGCTTGTTTGTACCATCTTCGAAACCCATCTCGAAGTCTCACTTCGATCGCTTATCTTTCGAACTCGATCACACGTACGAAAGCCGAAATCTATTTCGACTGTATACAGATTGTCCCCTCGTTTCTCAGGAAGAATGTGGTGAGAAACGATATGACTTTTCAATGGCTCGATCGGATTATAAACTGACGTTTCCATCGGACTCGATCATGACGCACGTGATAGTTGTCCCGTCGATTTAGTCTTTCAACACATTTAATGCATGTCAAACGGTGGTCGGCCACCGCTGATACTGAACCGCCATCGCTTAAACCTATAAATAATCCTTCATTTCATCATTTACCACTTTTAGATCTCCAATCTTCCAAATTTCCCAAGTCCCTTTTCGTATTCTCTGACTTGACCGCAAATCTGTGATTTCTCTTTGCAAAAAGCCCCTCTTAAATTTTACCAAATATTCGTCACTTTCTTCTATTCCTCACCTTTGAATTCGAAAATGGCGAAAACATCACAAATCGTTCCTCAGAAAGAGAAAGCTTCGTCTTCACCATGTGCCGCCGATGAGACACCGACAGAACCATGGCCTGAGGAGTGCATTCCTGGGGCGTGTGTTCTTACTTCTAATTTTAAGGTCGATAAAAGCTCATCGGTCCCTGGCCGATGTGAGCCAGTATCGAGGTGCATGTGTTCAATAACCGAGAAGCACCTCAAACAACTAAAGAAAGATTGCAATTGGGATAAAAAAGAAATAATAATTCCTACTTCTGACGAAGATATCACCACTTACGTGAAAGGGTTTTTGAAGGTCCTCTCGATTCCGTTATTATTGACTTCTGTCATCAATACCAAATAACCTTGGGCCAGGTCCATCCTTCTTTTTGGCGGATCGTTATCTTAATCCGATACTTTGTGAACAAAACCGAGGAGATGTCGTTCACCCTCTACCATCTTACCTGATTGTACCATCCTCGACTTTTTTGAGAAGGGTTAATAAAACTTCAGCGTCGGGCTACCAAGGCTCTGTTCTCGAGCATTGATGAGGACAGGGATCGGGGCTGGATGGGCAGGTTCGTTCGAGTGAGGACTTCAGACCTGATTCCGACCGAAAAGATGCCCTTTCTCGAGGAGTGGAATATGAAACGTAAGTGTGATCGTGTTGTTACTTCCTTATATTTTGTTCTTTCATTTCTTTTCTCATCGATCCTCTTCATTTTGTGATGCAGCGGTTCCATGGATGCCCAGAGCAATTCCCGATCTGAAGAACTGGGTATGAGCTCTTGTTTCGACCTCAACATACGTCGAGCGCTCATGGAGTGATTTGTCAAAGGGTCGGTGGGAGGCCACAAATCATGGTAAGCCCCTTTCTCATACTCTTTGATAATTCGAACGAGATGTTTTCCAAATATTTTAATAAAATTTTCCATATGCAGGTTTGGGCAAAGATGCGGTTTTGAGGCCCTTGTCCAACGAGGAAGAAACTTTGGCCTCCGTCCCAAAGCCGATGAAGGAAAATAAAAGGAAAAGAGCCTCCATTCCCGAAGATCCAAAACCGAAGAAGAGGACGGCTCGTAAGCCGAACAAGAATGCCATTCCTTTGACCGTGGAATCAGTTTTGCATCTAAGGGATGAAGAAAAAGAAGAAAATGATGGGTCCGCGCTGGCGATCCGAATGAAGAGAATCACCGATGCCCCGTCGGTAGCTAGTTCGATGAAGCTTCATGAGGCTCTACCTCGAATTGAGCATATACCAGAGAAATATTCAGGTGGAATCCCTGAATTATCGGAGATCGAAGATGCATCCCATCGGAGCCAACAGATGGAGGATATGTCTGATGGGGACCCTCTTGAATCCCTTCGAACCGAAGAGAATGCTCCAAGTGATTCATTTGGGGCAGCAGCAATCGAAGATTCGCCCACCTTCCCTGCTTTTTCCGCATAGGTGATTCGGGAAGCCCAAGCTTTGGGGGCCCTCGATCTAGACATGCCTTATGATGGAGAGGATCCCTTTCGTGACCTGTTTACCGGTATCGAGGACGTTGCTAGTACTAGTGATGAATCAGATCTTTTTCACGGGGTGCAGCAGGCTTTGAATCAGGTAAGCCTTAAAATTATTTTATCGGTACTACCTTTATGTTTACTTTTCGTTTCTAACTTCGTTTCTTGTTTCTTTGCAGGCAGCGGTAGTTCATCGAGAAGCATGTTCTCGGTCCCAAAATAAGTTGCGTCGATACAAGGCTGACCTTCGACGGGTTACTGAGGAGAGGAACTCCCTAAAACTTCTCTTAGGGCAAAGGGAAGAAGAAATAAGAGACCTCCGAGCTGAGTTGGCCAAGGCTTACCGAGATCAGACCGATCTGTCTTTCCAGGTAATGATACTTTTAAAATCCTATAGGCTTGATACCGTAACGATGGCTAATTTTTCGGTCTCATAGTTGCAGCAAAAAATTAAGATGATCGGGAAGCTTTGTGAGGAGGTCAACATGATAAAAGCGGAGTCTTTGCAGTGGAAAGAAGGTATGGACAGCTTTTCTGCAGAGAAAGAAACTGCTCGAGCCCAGTTATCATCGGCCAAAACCCAACTTTAGAGAATGAAGGAAAAAAACCCGGTTCAAGCAAGAAGAATAGATGAGCTCGAGGCTCGGTTGGCCTATGTACTTGCCAAGGCCGAATCTGATGCCGAAAAGGCAAAGGCTGATGCAGATGCACTCGTGGCCATCTATCGGGCCGATGTTGAAGCTGCCTAGGTCCAAGCAAGATAGGCAGCCGAGACCGCCAATACTCGAGCACATTGGGTCGCTGAACTTGATAAGTACCGATCTTAGAGGGAAACCCTCGATGAGATCCATGCTCGTGGTTTCGACCTCGCTGAAGAGATAAAAAGGGCCAAAGAACTCGAAGCCGATGCTGAAGCCTTGGTTTTTGATGACGATGATGATGACGATGGGAGTAAGAGCGGATCCGAGAATGGGGGGAGCCCGATAGAGAAGAGACCGCTCCTGGGGATGATCAGGAAACTTAGTCCTTAATTTACGTTGTAATCAATCATGTAAAGAATTTTGTATACAAAAACATCCCTTTTTTGCCGACTTGCTTCTGTTTTGTTTCCTGTCTTGTGAAAACTTTATTCACGCCTTATGAATGTTTTCACAAGGATTTAAACAACTTAATCAAATTTGGACTTTGTAGCCTCTATAACTGAGAGAGCGCTTACTCAAA